CAACGACATCATGAAGCATGCTCACTTAGAATAGGGTTTTGGGGCCCACTATACTACAATTATAACAAGGAACCCCCAAACTCGTATTGGTGATTAATTGGTTAGGCCCCTAGATTACCCTAAACCCTAGACCCTAAACCCTAAACGCTACCCTGTGCGTCCGGGCAGTTGGCGAAGACTTGGACGTGTCGGATCGGTTCTCCTTCCGGGTGCCCCAGCGGATCTCCGTGGAATCGCAGGCAGCTCTGAGGCTTAGGGTTTAGGGCTTATAGGGTTTATAAGGTCTAGGGCTTAAGGCTTCTAGGGTTCAGGGTTTAGGGCTTAGGGCTTCTAGGGTTTATAGTGTCTAGGGCCTGGGCTTAAAGGGTTTATGGGGTCTAGGGCTTTTAGGGTTGAGGCTTACTGTAGGGCCTAGGGCTTATAGGGTTTATAGGGTCTGGGGCTTTGGGCTTGTAGTTTTTTGTTTATGGTGTCTAGGGCTTAGGGCTCGTAGGGTTGAGGCTGTAGGGTTTGGGGCTTAGGGCTTTTTAGGGCCTATAGGGTTTAGGGTTTACAGGGCTGATAGGGTTTATAGGGCTTTTAGGGTTTATAGGGTTGATAGGGTTTATAGGATTCATAGGGCTTATAGGGCTTATAGGGTTCAAGGGTTTAGGGTTGATCGAGTCCAGGGTTGAGGTTTCATAGGGTTCAGGGTTTGGGGTTTAGGGTGTATAGGGTCTAGGGCTTACAGGGTTTAGGGTTTAGGGCTGAGGAGGCCTCGCACGACTTTGGATTTAGAGTATACAGGGAGGGTCCCACAGGGTCCGAAGTACCTACACAACAGAAAGCATGGGTTAAATAATGGGACTTAGAATTATGGTATGGGTCTGTATCCTTCATACTCCGGACTCTTTTGGGGGGTTTAATCTCGGGCTTATAGTGCAAATACGTGGTTGAGGCTCCTTCCCTCAGTAGGGATCTCAGACTTAAGCTCCTTCGACACAGTTAAGATCCCAGAGCATTGCAGAAAGATCTCTGCTTTGGACTCTGCCGGATGACCGCTTCAGTCAGGGTGGGTTTAGGGTTTCGGGTTTAGGGAATTGGGATGCATTCTGGGAGCGGCCCGTTTCAGGTTCGAGGGTGTTGTGCTTTACTTGGCACGTCAGCACGACAGAAAGCCCAAATTGTTTTATGTCAGACCCCTGGATTACCTTTTTTTTTTGGGGGGGGGGGCGACCCGAGTCCTGGGCGTTAAATGTAGGGTTCAGAGCTTGGGATTAATTATCATATACCAACATTTTAAACACAATGGGATTTGATAGGTCTGTGTTCCGGCACTCCAGGGTCAACAAAGATACTGTACTGGATAGTACCTGGGTCGGAAGACGTACTAGTACTATAAGAGTGCCCCCGTGTAGTCCATATAGTTTGATGCGAGTTTCTATGAACCCTTTCTTTTTATTTTCAAGGCCCCGATATTAACCCTTAAAGAAGCCCTCGTACAGCCCTTGAAACACTTTCAAGGAACCTTTTAAGCGACCTTACTCTAACTACTAAGGCCCCTACACAGAAGCGCATCTGACAGACATGAAGGGAGACCGCTTGGGTTGGAAGGTTTTGTTTGTTTGCGGCTTTAGGTCTTGAAGGTTTCTGCAGGGTTTGGGGCTTTCGGCTTTCCTGGCTTTTTGTCTATGGTTTCGCGCTTTAGGATGTATAGGACGTACCTTAAAGCGACCCAACCATCGCCCTGACGCGGGAAGGCCTTGTCGCCGCTTGCGCAAGATGTCGCGGACGTGCGCATGTCACAATCAGGCGCAGAGACCAGCAACGTAGACCGTACCAGAAAGCGCAATGATCCCAAACTTAAACGGCAGGCCCTGTCTAGGACGTACACCGGTTCGGACGTCTAGGGTCACACCGGACTTAAAGACAAGAGGGTGTAGGGTACTTTAACGACTGAATGTTGCATCCTTTTCTGGGGGGGTGCCGTTTACTGCAGCATCCGAAAGCACCCAACAAAAAGAAGAGATCGAATGTATGTCCGAGCTTCTTTCATCTTCAAGCCTCCTTATTGGTTATCCATGTGTACACCTGGACACGGTCATCATCTCACTTCAACGTATTCAGGAGATGGAACTAATCTTCAAGGCCGTGTGGCCTAGGTTCTAGGGGTGGGAAGCCTTAGAAATGTACACCTGGGCGGCAACAAACGGCGAAAGTAGCTGAACGCTTCAGTTGAGCATGGATCCACAACCTAGTTTTAACCAGCCCAGTTCTAAACCCTAAACCCTAAACCCACATGTGCATTCGGCGTCTTAACCGGAGAACCCGCACCATCAGACCATGGAGACTCCCGGATGAGTGTTTTTGCTATGTTGGGTGGGTGTGCCCTAATATAGGGGCCGAAATAAGTACCTATACTATTTTTGTTTTTTTTGGTGGGTTCCTTATTATAATTTTAGTATAATGGGCCACAAAACCCTATTCTAATTGTTAAGGCCCCTACTTTATGGCTGCATAGAGCAGAGCCGGAAGCAATGCAAAAGAGCCCAGAGCAACACACATTGACAAGCTGGCACTCAAACCCTAGAGACCCTGAGCCCTAAACTTAAACCTCAAACCGTAAACCCTAAACCCTAAACCCTAAACCCTAAACCCTAAACCCTAAACCCTAAACCGTAAACCCCAAACCTTACGACACGATGACATATGAGCCCTGAACCGTGAGACCCGTGGGCCTAGAGGGCAGAAAGCATTGGAGCGTATTAGGGTTTGGTTTAGGGGTTGGGGTTTAGGGTTCGCAGTTTAAGGGTTTGGGGATTCTAGTCCTTTTCAGGCTCAAGAGGTTTTGTTTAGAGGTGTTTATGGCTGTTGGGAATTCCGAAGCTTTCAGAGCTTCTGCCTAGACCCGCAAAAGCCCCGCCTTTCTGTGGTTCCGTGAGCTTATCAAATGCTGGCTCCTAACCTTTAGGGTTCAGGGTTTAGGATAAATGATCCAAAACAGGTACTACATTCACTACAGTCTAGGGTCGGTCTTGGTATGCCCTAAACCCCTAAGGGTCCATATATGATAATATGTATATATATATATATACATATATATATATATATATATATATATTATGTAGACATACCTTGGCCCCAAAGTACTTGACATAGGGTCGACTTCAAGGCCAAAGTGTCTACTAATTGGGTACATGGACCCTTGTATCCTAAATCCTTACGGTATCCTGAAAGGGACCCTTAAACAAACCCTTATCTCTAAACCCTTATAAACTTATATGGTAGCCTTAAAGGAACCCTTGAGGGNNCTTAAAGGGACCCTTAAAGGGACCCTGCCATGGTCCTTATAAGGGAACCTCCGGCCTTGCACAGGGGCAGCTGCTTTCGCCGCCCGCACCCTCCGCGGCGCGGTGGCATCGTTCACGCTTCGAGGATGGACTCGGGTGGAGTGGGGGGGGGGGGGGGGG